GAAACAAATGAGGGAAAGAACTGCTAAAAAAGGATATAAGATTAGGTATTATAGTCATGACAGAAGTCCAAAATGAAGGCAGCACAGTGGAATGGACTTGGTGTGAGGGATTATATAACAATGAAAGAATTTTTCTTTTACTTTTCCAAGAAAAGAGCGAATTGGGGAGGAGGGGAGCAGGGAGAAAAGTGCAACAATGAATGACTGGAAATCCAAAGTCTCTGTAAACATTCATTAAAATGAATTTTAAAAAAAAGAAGAAAGGTAAGCACTAGCTTACACATGCAAAAAATTAAAAAAGTAAAGACCTAACACAGGTTGATTTTTCAAATAAAACAAATGAAAACGTTTATGAGAATATATATTGAAAATTATAAATAATTGAAAGGAATAGTTGTCAGGTGCTGCCCAATTGTTGTTGTTGTTATGAGCCATCGAGTAACCTGCAACTAATAGCAACCCTATGTACAACAGCTCTGAAGCCTGTTCTGCCCTGAACTAGTCTCACTGACTCCAACATACTTACCATTATTTCCCTAATTACTGTATCAATCCATCTCTTCTGGGGTTTTCCTCTCCTGCATCTGATTACACCCTTCCAACCATGATGTCTTTCTCTAAGGGCTAGTCCTTCCTGGTCATGTGCCCTAAGTATGTGATATAGAACGTCAAAATCCTAGCCTCCAAAAAGGAACTTGCTTTCACCCTCTCCAAGACAGACCTATTGGTTTTCTTGGAAGTCCATGGTATGTTCAAGAGTCTTCTCCATCATTGCTATTTGAGGGCCTTGATTCTTTTTCTGTCATCCTTAGTCATTGTCCAACTCTCTGAAGCATAATAAGTAATTGTGAAGACCATGGCCTAAATAAGGGACGCCTTAATCTCTAGACTGATATCGTTGTTTCTCAGTACTCTATAGAGGTCCCTAATAGCAATTTATCCTAGTGCAATTTGTCTTTTTATTTCCTTACTGTTAGTTCCAAGAGTGTTCATTGTGAACCCAAGCAAGCTATAAATTGTTAACGGCTTCAATCTCTTCTACATCTGTTATGGTGTTGCCAATTGGCCCCGTGTTGAGAATCTTTGTCATTTGATGTAGAACTTCAATCCACATTGAATGTTACAGTCACTGACCTTCTGCAGCAAATGTTTCAGGTTTTCCTCAGTTTAAGCAAAGAAGGTTGTGTTATCTGCATAATGTAGGTTGTTGATGAGTCTTCCTCCAATCCTGATGCTACATTCCTCCTCATAAAGCCCAGCCTCCAAAATGATCTGTTCTGCATAAATATTGAAAAGATATGACCACTGGATGCATCCCTGATACACTCCTTTTCTAATTTTGAACCATGCCGTGTTTCCTTGCTGTTCTGAGGACTGCTTCCTGGTCCAAGTGTAGGTCTCATTTAAGCACAATCAAATGATCTGGGATTCCCTTACTCCTTTAAGGTTAACCACAGTTTGTTGAGATCCAAAGTTAAATGCCTTTGCATAGTCAATGAAACACAGACATTCCTCTGGTACTATTTGCTTTCTGCCAAGATCCATCTGACATTATCAATAATGTCTCCAGTGCTACAACCTCCTCTAAACTCAGCTTATATTTCTGGTAGTTCTCTGTCAATTTACTGTTCCAGTCATTTTTGGAAAATCTTCAGCAGGGTTTTCCTTGCATGTGATATTAGTGGTATTTTTTTGTAATTTCCATACTGAATAGGGTCACCTTTTTTATTATGGGAATAAATATGGATCTATTCCAGTCTGTTGGTCAGGTAGTTGTCTTCCAGATTTCTTGGCCCAACCTATGAGCACATCCAGGGCAAAGTATCTATTTGTTGAATATGTCAGTTGGTATTCCATAAATTCCTGGAGCCTTATTTTTTTGTCAAGTCCTTCAAAGTAGCCTGAACTTCCCTCCCCCCACCCCCATCACCATTGCCTCTTAATCATATGTTGTTCATTGAAATTCTTCTGTGTCAACCCATTCTTTTTGGTACAGTGACTCTGTACTATCTCATTTTAATACTTCCCGGTACTTTCAATATTCTTCCCACAGCATTCTTAAGTTTTGCAATTCACAGCTTAAATTTGTTCTTTACTTCCTTGAGATTGATTTTCTGTCTTCAGCTCCTTGCACATTTCATTATAATACTTTGCTTTGTCTTCCTGAGGTGCCTTTTGAAATCTTCTATTCATCTCCTTAACTTTTTTATTTCTTCCATTTGCTTTGGTTTCTCAGCACTCTAGAACAATAGTCAGCATCTCTTCTGACACCCAATTTGGTCTTTTCTTCTTTCTCCATATTTGTAGTGTCTTTTTACATTCTTCATGAATAATATTCTTGATATACTTACTTCCACGGCTCATTTGATTTTTGTTCATTAGTGTTCAAGGCCTCAAATATGTTCCTGAGTTAGTTTCTAAATTCAGGTGAGATAGACTCAAAATGAAATCTTGATTCCTATGGATTTGATTTGACTTTCTTTAGCTTTAATTAATTTGAACTTGCATACGAGTAGATTATGGTCTGTTTATCAATTAGCACCTGGCCTGGATTTCACTGCTGATATTGAATGTCTCCAAAAATTCTTTACATTCAATTTAACACGATCAAAATATACAGAAATACTCCCTTGCTTTTATTATTAAGTGAAGTAGTATTATCAGTTTTTGCCTGTGATTATCTGGTTTGGCAGCTATGATGAAATAACACATAACATAATCATTAATGCCTCTGATGAGATCTAATATAGTAGAATAATTTTCTTGACGAGACTTTACATCTTATGATCATCCCTAAGATGAGATTCTAAAACACCTGCCTGTTCCCTTCATCATCTCTATGTTTGACCCTTTTATTGAAGGCTGTGTTGATCGCTCTCATTGAAGTTCTTCCTCTTTATTGCATACACTTTCACTTTTGTTGGTGTGATGTCTTCCAGGTATTGATGTCTCCTAATCACATCTCTTTCCATCTTCCTTTCTAAGAAACATTCTGATTGCACTTCTTCCAAGATATGTTTATTTGTTCTGCTATCAGTTCTTTGCCAATGCTATCAATTCAAAGAGATAAATTCTTGTTAGTCTTCAGTAGTAGTTGTTGTTGTTGTATACTATAGAGTCAGAACAGAACCATATAGTTGACAATCTGACAGGTCTTCAGTGGCAGTTAATCACACAGGAGGAGATTGCCCATCCATCTGCCAAACAGCAGCTGGTGGCCTGGAACCATGTGCCCTCAGGATTACAGTGCAGCTTCATAGTCTTCAATATGGATTGTAGCTCAACAAAGAGTCCCAAAGATTCCTGGGACAATTGGCAGAACCATGCTTGATGGAGAAAAGATGAAGTTGTTAACAATTTCAACTTGCTCTACAATCAACTCTTTTAGCATCAGAAGTCAGGAAATAAAAAAATTAATTGCACTGGGAAAATCTGCTGTTAGGGACCTCTCCAGAGTACTGAGAAGCAATGATGTCAGTATAGAGACTAAGGTGCGCCTGATCTAGTCCATGGTTTTTGCTATTACTTGCTATGCATCAGAGAGTTGGACAATGACTAAGGATGACAGATGAATTAATGTCTTTGAGTTGTAGTGCTGGAGGAGTTTTGAACATACATGGACCACCAAGAAAACAAATAGATCTGTCTTGGAGTAGGTGAAACCAAGTTTCTCTTTAGAGGCTAGAATTTTGAAGCTCTTTACCACATTCTTTGGCCCTGTAACCAGGAGTGACCAGTCCTTGGAAAAGGACATCATGCTCAGAAAGGTGGAGGGACAGCACAGGAGAGGAAAACTCTATATGAGATGGATTGATACAGTAAGGGGGCAGTAGATGTAGATTTATTGGAGTCAGTGAGACTGGCTCCGGACAGGGCAGGCTTCAGAGCTGTTGTACGTAGGGTTGCTATGAATCACAGGTGACACAACGGCACATAACAACAACAACAACAGTCTTTATTTATTATGACATTTTCACATGTGTATGAGACTAATGAAAATACGATGACTTTGGTCAGAAGCACCTTACTCCTTAATATGACATCTTTTAAATATTTTAAGAAATCTTTTGTAGCAGATATTTGCAATGCATTAAATAAGTCATTTGTGGCAGATTTGTGTGTTGTAATATATAAATTGTTATGTATTGATTCAATGGCCACTGATTGTGCATACAAATAAAATACTTGACAACCTCACACTTTTCTTGACATTGTTACTGAAACAATGGGCTCAAGTGTGTCAGACATGATGAGGATGGGACAGGACAGGGTAGGGTTCAGATCCATAATTCATAAGTTCTCTATGAGTTGCAGCTGACTTGATGGCATCTAACAGCAACATATATGCAAAATATTAGGAAATAGTAATATAATGTTTATTTATAATTATCTTACAATATAAAAAGAACCACAAAAAAAAGAAAAAAAACAGTACATTTATATAGGTTTAATAATGTGGCATATGCTAAAAGTTTCTGTTTTGATATAACTCATTAAATATGTCCTTGGCTAATTTTATTACCTTCAAAATTAGCTTGCATTTACCAGTTCTGTTTCCTAAGAGAGTTAATTACCCACTAGGGTTTATTAAAAGGAATAACTGCAGCAATCAACAGAAAAATCTACTCCCATTCCCCATGGGTGATCAGCAATACTAAGAAGGCATACTTATGATCATCCATTATCTTCCTTCCAGAAATAACAGAGACCCACAGAAATCTCATCCCATATTCCCATGTGCCTATTGCTCTTTCTAAAACTCCTTGCTTTGTGGGTATCACTAGTCACAAGCACTAGAAATTCTGTCTAGATAGCAAATTTTTGCCCCTAAAGAATGGTAAGTGATATATAAACTCTCTAATTTTCTGACTTTTATGACACCAAAGGAAATTATACTGCATCTTACTTTCTTCTGAAAAACAGAAATCAGCTGTTAAGAATTTGAGAACCATAGACCCATCTAATTAACTAAATCTCTCTAGAAATATTTTCAGTCATCTATGTCTATGATTGCCATCTCCAACTTCAGCGATTCCAACTTTGTTCTCACTGGTTTTCCTGGCCTAGAAGCTAACTACCTCTGGATTTTCATCCCTTTCTCCTCCATCTATGCCATGGTGTTCATGGGAAACTGCATGGTGCTTCATGTGATTCGGACAGAGCCCAGCTTGCACGAGCCCATGTTCTACTTCTTGGCCATGCTGGCCCTTACTGATCTATCCATGGGGCTATCCACAGTGCATACAGTGCTGGGAATCCTGCTGGGTCTAGTTCGAGAGATCAGTTTGGATTCGTGCATTGCACAGTCTTATTTCATCCATGGTCTGTCTTTTATGGAGTCATCTGTTCTTCTTGCTATGTCCTTTGACCGGTACATTGCCATCTGCAACCCATTGCGTTATTCCTCTATCCTAACTAATGACAAAGTCAAGAAAATTGCAATAGCTATTTTAGGTAGGAGTTCTTTACTCATACCTCCAGTCATCATCCGCCTGAAATTCTTGAATTATTGTCATCCTCACATTTTATCTCACTCTTTCTGCCTACACCAAGACTTAATCAGAATGGCCTGTTCAGACATCCGTTTCAACAGCATCTATGGCCTATTTCTGGTAATCAGTAACCTGTTGTTGGATGCAGTTCTCATACTTATTTCTTACATCATGATTTTGCATGCAGTTTTAGCCATTGCATCCCAGGAGGAAAGGATGAAAACCTTGCAGACTTGTGTGTCTCACATCTGTGCTGTTTTAGTTTTCTACATTCCTATTATTGGTCTGACCATGGTGCATCGTTTTGGGAAACACCTCTCACCACTGGTTCATGTTCTTATGGGAAATATCTATATCCTTTTCCCACCCTTTATGAACCCTATTATTTATAGTATCAAGACTCAGCAGATACGAAAAAGAATTAAGAGATTGTTCCAGTTTAAAGGTACTTAAATACCCTGAGATTCAATGTAAGTATGATTAAAAGTCAAAAGTGCAATTCTGGAGTATTCAGTCAGTATGTAATTAAAAATAAATTTAGAACTTTTTATATATATTCTGCATGTTTTATTTTCCATTTTCCTACAATTTAGTATGTGAATTAAATGAACACAAATAATACTGTGACTGAAATTAACATTTATCTTAGGGAAAAATTAATTAGTAATTCTTGTAACTTCTTATGACCAGTCCTATAATTTTTTTCTAATGATTTTAAATAATTACTAAAAGATGAATAATCATTTTAGTTACTTTCCCCTGTTGTTAGAACCAAGGAATATTAAACTATTTCAGTCATTCAAAGCAGTAATAAGAGCAAATAAATAAACTAGAGTCTTTATGTTAACTGTTAGCCTGTATCTAAGTCAGCATTTCTCTTACTCAAATTATCTATCCTGGCGTAAGGAGCTAAAAAAAAAATTTAAAAAATGTAAGAATTATTTTGATAATTAAATAATATCGTCTTTTGTATCAAATTAAATTGACCTGGTGGGTAGGCAGATGTACTGCCAGTCCGGAAGAGGACAATTCAAATCCACCAGCTGCTCCATCAGAGGAAGATGACTAATCTCCTCCATGTGATTTACAGCCTCTGAAAATCTGCTGAAGGATTAAGTAGGAGTCAATTCTGATTTGACAGTGGTAAGAGTAGAGTACAAACATTTGTCATATACATGATGTTTCACTGGATAAGTGAACAGCTTAAAATATAAATAAGTTAAATAATGTTTCTAATTTGTAAGAGATGATAAGGAACTGTATTTGGATATTTTTTTCCTTGTCTTATTTAGCTGCAAATCTCTATTTCTTCTTTTTTATTGTTCAGTTTTACATAAGATATCAGTTAATTGGTTATGCAATTATGAAACTTTTGTACTATACATACCATAAAAATCACTAAAGTAACATAGAAGATAAAATGCACAACTTTAGATTTAATTAATATATATAGTGTTCCCTCGAAATCTTATCATTGTAATGATATATATGTACTTATATTTGGTTTTATCATGTATTATTTTTATGAAAAATGCACATGCCTATAATTAAAAACATAAAATTTCACAACCTTTGGAAGTATAATTTTGTGGGTTTTTTAAAAGTACCTATAATCTGTAAGAACTACCATAATCAAAATACAAAATCTCATATATTGCCATAAGCTTCTTTTTAATCTATTTGATCCCACAATCTGAAGTCCCTGGTAAGCAACCCCAGATCTCAATTCTGTCCTATAGTTTTAACTCTAAGAGAAAGTAATACAAATTGGTTTTTAAATAATGCAGTCTTTAACTTTTTTACTTTCACTCTTGTTAGCAAATGTATTCAATTTGTTTTATTGTAGAACCTTTATCCATTCATCAGTTAATATTTAGCTTTATGTATCTTTGATTATGAATACAGATAATATGAGCATTTATATCAATTGGTTATACAAGTGTTTCCAGGATATTGATAATTTTAGAATTTATATTTAATGTTTACTGCCAATAATAATACCTTAGCTTATATTTATTAAATATCCCTTAATATCTGAAACTATGGAAGCAATAACTAGATATTATTTTATTCTCAGAACAAATCAATAATGTATATAATAATATTTCAATTGTTCGATGATAGAATTGAGATAAAAGAATCAAATTATTGTAAAAAAGAAGGTAAGATTCTTGGTGAAACAGTTTGCTTTCACAGTACTCTTAAAGTCGGCTGCTGCTGTTTCATTTGTCATGACAGCTATTCTCTCACTGCACTCTTTGGTTTTGTGGTTATTCATATTGTGAGTTACAAATATGAAATTGTATGTTGATTTAAGTATGAATCCTCAAATGAGTTACTGTGATGATTAATTTTATCTTTCAATTTGCCTAGGCTATGGTGTTATCAATCTCTAGCTTAAATGTTGTCAATAAGCTATTTTTTAATATGTCTAGCAATTTACAGTTAATTGACTCAAAGCAATACAAGTCATCATTGATAATAGAAGTGGGAAGACTTAAAAGTAAAAATTGAGATTTCTAAGGAGAAGAATAATTCTGTTTCAAGATTGTAACAGATACCCTGCCAGCACTTGAAGCCTGTCTGGCATCAGTGGTTTGGAGTTGATAATTCTATACGTGCTGAACACTGTGACACTGATATGTCAAATGTGATAATGTTTACCCATGGTGGACAGTGTTTGGTGGAACTCTTTGATTAAAACAAGCTTGGAAGCAGGAGTGGCATCTACTTCTCAAATAGCTTGCCTCTAGAAACCCTATGAGCTTGGAGAAATGATGAAAGTTATACAAATGTTCAAGTCTTTCATTCATATGGTCACTATGAGTCACCTACGATTTGACGGCACTTAACAATGACAACTCTATACACAATGTCATTTGTCAATTCCTTAAATTTACCTTTCTCTGTATCTCTCTCTCTCTTTCTGAGTGTATCTCTATCTCTTACACATACAAATACAACCACCCACTCATGCATCCTCATACCCATTTCAAATCCAAGCATACTGCTTTTTAGTGGATTCTGACTCTTAGCTGCTCTCCAGTGGATTTCCCAGGTTATAAATCATAATGGGAGGAGACTCCCATTTCCTTCCTTTGGAGCAGCTGAATCTCCAGAGATGTGCTGTCTTTTGGTTATCAGCACAAGACACTACAGCCTAGGCCACCAGGGTTCCATTTATATCATCAGAACAAATATTTCAAGTATAAAATTATATTTTCAATTTTTAATTGGCAGAATTAAATACAATATTAAGAAAAAAGAGAGAAAGAGAGAAAGAAAGCAAGCTTGTCTAAGCAATATCCAATAGCATAATGATAACATATGGCAAGTTGAGTGCACCAGTGACTCTAGAGAAGAAAGATGGATGGCAGTCTTTTTCCATAAATATTTATAGCCCTGAAAATCTGATGAGTGGTCGCTATAAGTTAGCAGTGGCAATGTCCATTCTCCAAGACATATCTTTTTATTCTTTTGGCAGTCCATGGGTATTTAGTACTCTTCAACACCACAGCTCAAAGACATCAATTCTTCTATCATCCTTATTCTTTGTCCAGCTCTCATAAGCATAGAAAGTGACTAAAAAGACCATGGCCTGAACCAGGCACACCTGAGTCTTCAAATTTATATCACTTTTCCTCAGTAATTTGGAGAGGTCCCTGACTGCAGACTTTCCAAATGCAGTACATCTCCTGATCTACTGATTGCTAGTATCATGGGTCTTGATTGTGGATCCAAGTAAATGAAGTCATTGACAATTTCAATCTTTTCCCCATCTATCATGATGTTGTCTGTCAGTCCAGTGGTGAGAATCTTTGTTTTCTTGATGTTGAGACGTCATTCAAATTGAAGGCTGTACGTAGTCTTTGATCTTCTGCAGTAAGTACTTCAAGTCTTCCCCACATTGTATTTAGTTCTTTGACTTTTTTCAAAAAGTCCTTTCAGTCATCATACAGCAATTTCCAGTGGTTTTCTCTTTGTCTCTCTTTTATTTTAATTCTCAGTATACAGAGATTATACAAATAATCTATTGTGATGTTGTAAATTCTAAGTATTAGACAAAAAATCCAATCATTTCCCTTCTCTTTCTTTCCCCACTATGTCTTGCAACCATAACAGAATATTTTGTACTCTTTGTAAACATTTCCTAGCTTTTTATTTTTTAATAGTAGACATATATAGTATTGTTTCTATTATTTAATTGTGATTTTAACAAAAGTTTACAGAAAAGTTGGATTTTCATTCATTGTTGCAGTTTCCTCCCTACCCTCTCCCAGTTCATTTTTTTTAAAAAACATACATTCATTGTTGCATAATTTCCTCCTTCCCGGACCACCACTCCCTGCACCTCTTATTATAGACTGTTGTCATACAAATAATGCCTAGTCATATATTCCTTTTAAATAGTTCTTTCATCTGTTCCAATGCAGTGTTCATTATTTATCCTGTCTTTTCATAGTTTCTTCCAAACTTCCATGTCAGTCCTGTTTTATAACAGAGGTGTTATGCAATATTTGTTCTTTTGTGACTTAGATATTTCACTCAGCATAATGTCCTCCACATCAACCGTGTTGTGTAATATTTCATGAGTTCCTTGTCAGCACTGTGTAGTATTCCATTGTGTGCATGTACCACCGTTTTCCTGTCTATTCATTTGTTGATGGACACTTGGGTTGCTTACATCTCTTTGCTTTTGTGACTAACTCAGCAATAAACGTGGGTGTGTATATGTCTATTTGGATGACAGCTCTGGTTTCTTTAGGATATATTACTAGCAGTGGAATTACTGGTCAAATAGTATTTCTATTTCCAACGTTTTAAGAAAATGTGATACCACCTTTTATAGTGGTTGCACCATTTTACACTCCCATCTCAAATTTTCCACAACTTCACTAGTGTTAGTTGTTTGCTGCTATGCCAACTTTTGCTATTATTACTGGGATAAGATGATATCTTATAGTTGTTTTGATTATCATCTCTCTGAGAGCTAGGGATTTTGAACATTTCTCCATGTATTTGTTTGCTGTTTGAATGTCTTCCTTGGTGAAGTGTCTATTCATATCCTGTGCCGTATTTTGTGTCTGGGTTGTTGAGGCTGAAGCATTCTATACATTCTAGATATGAGTCCCTTATCAGATATGTGATTACCAAATTTTTTCCCCAGTCTGTGAGTTTCCTTTTTACCCTCTTGGGTAAGTTTTTTGATGTGCATAGGAATTTGATTCTTTTTGACAGTTTGTTTGTTTTTTTTACTTTATTTTTAATTAATTTCAGTGAACATTTACAGAGATTTTGAATTTCCATTCATTCATTATTGCACTTTTCTCCCCGCTCACCCAACCCCCACCCCCAGTTCGCTCTTCTCCTTGAAAAGCAAAAGAAAAACTCCTTCACTGGTATACAATTACCCCCGCACTCCCCTACCCCCACCCCGAGTATACACCACTCTG